AAAAAAAAAAAAAAAAAAAAAAAAGTTTGGGAAAATGAAAACATTCTGGAAATAACAGTGGGAATAATTGCAAAACAATGTGAAGGCATTTAGTGTCAATGAAATGTACGCTTAAAAATGATTAAAAAGTTGAATTTTATGTAAAGTTTACAAACACACACACGCGCACATGCGAGATACCACTCCACAGCCACTAAGATAGCTATAATGAAAAAGACAATAGAAACAGTGTTGGAGAAGATGTAGAAACACTGGAACCCCAAAAACACTGTGCTAGTGAATTTGCACTAACATGCAGCCAGTTTGGAAAATAGTCTAGTTAAACATACAGTTACTATACGATCCATTGATTCCCATCCACGTTCTTGAGAAAACAAACAAACAAACAATTTCCATGCAAAAACTTATACACAAGAGTTCATAGCATTATTCACAATGGTCAAAAGGTACAAAAACACATGTTATTGACTGATAAAGAAAATGTGGCAGATCCACACAATAAAATATAAAGTCATAAAATGAAATGAAGTACTGATACGTGCTAAAATATCAGGCTAAGTGAAAAAAGATCAAAACATTATGTATTAATTCCACTCATATGCAATATCCACAATAAGAAAATACATGTAGCCAACATACATTAGTGACTACCCGTAGCTAGATGATGGAGAGGTGGAAGAGGGGCTAAGAGTATTGGGTTTCTTTATGGAATGACAAAAGATTTTCTAATATTAGTTTGTAATGATGGCCACTTAACTCTGAATATATCAAAAAATATGGAAATATACATTATAATTAGATGCGCTGGATGATATATTGTCAGGAGCCATTCTACATAATTTTGGGGAAAAAAATCATCTCACAATTATGATTAGGCCTCAATGGTTCCCTGATGATGTGACCTCAAGGACAAGATTACACCAGCTGAAAACAACCTCCTTCTTTAAGAATTGACTAGTAATACAAAAAGAGAAAGTTTTCACCAGGGAAGGGATAAATTCCTTATCATCTTAACTCATCCCACCTACTGTTATAAGAATGTTTTTGCTCATTTCACCCTCCTAAACTCATCCAACAAAGATCCTCATGAGCATAAAATCCTCATCATCATAGGATTACCTCTTCGCTCTGAGGCATCTGATACACCCTCCCAAGATAAGATCCTTATGAATTTAGGATTATTGACACGCTGAGTGATCTGATACTCCTTATAAACCCAATAAAGAGTGGCAAACTCTCAGTGTCTTTGTCTTTGCCTGCTCTACGACACTGACCTCCTGCAACCACCACATACTTTGAAATTATGCAAGCCTCTATTGTCTTTTGTTTTCCTTTAGCCCTCTGACCCCCTCGAAGCAGTCACAGGACTGATAGACCTCTGATAATATATGAGATGTATCTCAATAAAGCTGTGATCAAAAAATGCTGAAGAGCTGCAAGTAGTAAAATGTTTTAATGTCAAGGTTATTAAAGTCAAGAAAAATTGAGGAAATGTTCCAGATTAAAGGAATGAAGAGACCTCACAACTAAATGCAACTATGGATATATGAGGATTTTCTTTTCCTATAAAAGATGTTACTGGGATAAATGGCAATTATCTGAATAAAATCTATACACTATCTTATAGTA